AAAGAGGGTCTGGGCAGCCCAGGACCTCCAGACACACTGCCCAGGCTTGCGTCCTGAGGAGGTGACTTCAGTGCTGCTAATGCAACAGTTTGACTTCAAAGAGCCAGTGTGGTGTAGTGGTTAAGAGCGGTGGACTCGTAATCTGGTGAACTGGGTTCGCTTCCCCGCTCCTCCACATGCAGCTGCTGGGTGACCTTGGGCTAGTCACACTTCTCTGAAGTCTCTCAGCCCCACTCACCTCACAGAGTGTTTGTTGTGGGGGAGGAAGGGAAAGGAGAATGTTAGCCGCTTTGAGACTCCTTCGGGTAGTGAGAAAGCGGGATATCAAACCCAAACTCCTCCTACTACTCTTCTTCTTCTTCTTCTTCTTCTTCTTCTTCTTCTTCTTCTTCTTCTTCTCCTTCTCCCCCATGTAAAGACTAGCAGGGGTGAAGGGTCTAAATAAAAAAAAACCATGCTGTGTAGAGAACCAAGTAATCCGGATTTGTGGACAGGAGTGCAACAAAGTTATCAGGGACTTTGAAATGATGATTCCAGTTGCGTCCATCTATGCCCATCTGTGCCCCCACCCAAGCTATTTCAGCCTCCAACTCTAATCTCTAAATCAACCCTCTAGAAGGAGCCTTCTGAGGGAAATAGGAGGGTTATGACTGGGACTAATTAAAGAGCTCTAATTGCCCAGATCATTAGCAGCAGATTATTCCGGCTACCAGTCTCTAAAAACTGCAAGGTAATCACTCCCTAATCTGAGTAAATAGCCTTGGCAGAAAGAGGGAAAATGTCATTGTATATATGGAGCAACTGGTTTTGTTTGCTTCCACCCTCCCAGACGTAGCTTCACTCATTATTTGTGCCGGAATGTCAGGCAAGAGCTATGCATGGGAAAACAATAATGGCACTTGGTTTGGCACTCTGGTGCCTCAGTCTCTCCTCGTGTTTGTTCACCTTCTCTGCTGTGTGCCATGGAAGATAATGAGAAGCATCCGTTTCCAGGTGCAAATGAACTATGGTTAGTCAAGGGCAACCTTTGGTTAGTTTAAACTATGGCTTCCGGAAACGAGCCGAGGTGAAACCGTGTTTTGTGATCCTGCTGTGTTCCAGCAAACCATAGCTAATACTAACACAGACCCTGGTTCCAACACAATGACAAACTGTGTTTAATTTAAACCTGGAAGCAGATGCTACCAGTTTTGTCCTCCACTGCTTGCTAAAGGGCCCTCGTATTTACGGGACTACCTTTCCTGGTCTGCCCCACAGAGGACCTTAAGGTCTATGAATAACCATAGTTTAGAGGTCCTGGGCCCTAAGGAAGTCAGACTATCCTCCACCAGGGCCAGGGCCTTTTCAGTGATGGCTCCGACCTGGTGGAATGCTCTGTCCCATGAGACCAGGGCCCTGCAGGATTTAACCTCCTTCCGTCGGGCCTGTAAGACAGAGCTATTCCGCCTGGCCTTTAATTTGAATTCAGCCTGATCTTCTATTTCCCTTCCCTTCCCTCCCCCTTCTCTTTTATGAAGATTACCAGCTCTGAGACCCCACAGCTAATTCTCCCCGGCCTCCTCGCTGGCCCAAATAGGACTAATTCAGCCAGCTAGATGGATTTCCTCTAAATTGATTTCTGAACTTTGAATTTTATTGTTATTCATCTTTTTATACTGTATTTTATGCTGCTTTTACAATTAAGTGTTTTAAATTTGTTGTTAGCCGCCCTGAGCCCGGTTTTTGAACCAGGAAGGGCGGGGTATAAATAAAAATAAAATTATTAAAGGAGGTGAAGGGAGAAAAGATGCTCAATTGCAAGGCTCAAACAAGCTCGTTTTCAAAAATTAGTAGTGGCCTGGCTTAGCAGCCTTGTAGCCCTCCTGCACCATGGATTTTGTGCTCACCGCTTGTCCGTTATCCCTCAAAGTACCATGATAAACAGGTGGTGCTCATCTGTACTAACAACTGAGCCCTCAAGCTTGCTCGGTTTTTTGCACCAAGCTTGTAAAAACTTCCATTTGGGTCTCCTTGCCCAAAGTCCATTCATATGTTGACATTCTAGTCTACAAGAGATTCCCCTTGAATTCTAAAGTGCCATTGTGTTGCTACAGGAAGTAGGGGACTTACAAAATGAAGGATGGGGAAGCTGTTGTTGGACTGCAACTCCCATCAGCTCCAGCCAGCGTGGGCAATGGTCAGGGCTGATGGGAGTTGTAGTCCAACAACATCTTGGAGGGCCACAGGTGTTGGGAATCTGTGTACGTGCAGCTACTCACACAGAGGCAATTAAGGTTTGGCAGACAGCCAGAAGGCAATCTGAAGGAGTAAGTCTGCCTGGTGATAACAGAGGCACGGAGACAGCTCCCTGATTGGTCAAGCTCTCTCAAAGGAGTGATAATTAATGGCCTACTAACTGGAATGTGTTAGTTCAGAGTTCAGTGTTCAGTAGTTCTGTGTGTCAGTGTAGGAGTTGTGAGTCGTGTCAGAGAGAGCTAGTTAAAGATCCGTGTTCTGTTCCTGTAAATAGTCCACTGTATATAATAAACACCTAACTACAAGTTCCTGGTTCCTGCTTCGTCTATCCTGTCTGCAGCCAAGTTGCCAATTGCTTCTGTGGATTCTGCGTTAACTCTGCTAGGTCTGGCTAAGGTCCTGCCACTAGTCAGAAAGTTGTGAAACACCAATAGGTTTTCCCCATCCATAATAAGAATACTTCTAATGCAGTTAGTCTGGCTATGCTAGCCAACCATAACTATTTCAGAGAGCAGAAATAGTTATCCTGAACTAACATCCATCCACACTCTCACGAGTTGCTTAGGACAAATATTGAGTTTTCCAATGAACTAAAATTGAGAGAACTGGGGACTCTCCTGTGATAGCATACCCTCCAATGTTTCTCCGATGAAAATAGGGATGTCCTGTGGAATAATAATAATAATAAAAGCAGGATATTCCAGGATCAAATCAAAAACTGGGACGCTTTCTGTAAATCCGGGGCTGTCCCTGGAAAATAGGGACACTTGGAGGGCCTGAGATAATATGAATATATGCACTCAGGGAATGGACACAGCACCAGCACACCATGCTTCTAGGCAAAATATAAGTTACAAGAATCTCAGGACGATCTGGTTGTAAGTGTAAGTGGAAACAGGATAATGACTGAAGACTGCAGACAAAGGATAGATGTACTGAATTGTTATGTCGTATTTATAGTCACCACTCAGATTGAAATTTGCCAACGATAAATGCAAGAAGCTTAATGCTGAACAAATGAAAATGGATGTCTGCAATTATTTTGCTAAAAACAGTGGGGGGGGGATTTACACTATATAATTTACACTAGGCCCTGCCTTAACTTTGTTTTGATCTGCTCTGACAAAAAGGTACTCAAAATTAGGACTCGAGCAACACACCGGAACAGATCAATGATTAATTCGATAAGACAAACTCTGTGTTTAATACCTTGTTGACATTCCCAGCAGTCGATAAATCCGTCACTGCCAGTTCTTTTCAAATACTTGGCGCTTTGTTTCCTCGGTTATTACTAGATTATTTAAAATATACCGTTATAACGGAGGTGACGAAATTGTTTACGAAGATGCTGAAGCAAAAAATGGATAATCCCGGTCACTTTTGGGGGTAGGTTTTTTAAAAGAGAGAATGTATTTTATTTTTGTAAATAGTTGGCTAAGAAGAGAGATAATGTAAATGGATAAATCGGTGGGCATATGTATGGCATAAAGAAGCAAAGTGAAAAAAAGTGTTTTTTGTTAATGAAAATGAATCTTCCGCATGTTTTTTTTTTTCTGGAATAAGAAAAATTGCAGTATAATTGATGCAGGGCATAATCTTTCTTTTATGTTCACGGTAGTAATTTGCAAATTATTCCCTTTGGAGATGAGAAAAGAAGTTGTTGTTTTTAAGGGTGGGGAGGACATTCCCAGATATCTTCCATTGTGATTGCATGTCCAACCACCTGCAAATCGGGTTCAGATGCTTGCATGCCCTCTTAAAAAAAAGAAATGTTGACTTAAATGGTGCAAACCTCCTTTTGTAGTGGAAGACCCAGTGCCAGATTTACGTATAAGCTAACCAAGCTGTAGCTTAGGGTACCACTCTCTTGGGGGCCCCCAAAAAATTAAAGGAAAAAAACCCTGGATGGACATTTCCAAAATATAAGATAAAAAGCAAATAAAATAGAACCTACATGCAGCAACAGTGTTTTGTGTTGTGTAGGCTCCTAGGTTGGGCCCCGCCTGCTAGCCTGCTCCCTAAAATATCACTGGTTTGCTTCTTTCTATATATAGGGTAGGGACGCGGGTGGCACTGTGGGTAAAAGCCTCAGCGCCTAGGGCTTGCCGATCGAAAGGTTGGCGGTTCGAATCCCCGCAGCGGGGTGCGCTCCCGTTGCTCGGTCCCAGCCCTGCCAACCTAGCAGTTCGAAAGCACCCCCAGGTGCAAGTAGATAAATAGGGACCGCTTACTGGCGGGAAGGTAAACGGCGTTTCCGTGTGCTGCGCTGGCTCGCCAGATGCAGCTTTGTCACGCTGGCCACGTGACCCGGAAGTGTCTCTGGACAGCGCTGGCCCCCGGCCTCTTGAGTGAGATGGGCGCAAAACCCTAGAGTCTGTCAAGACTGGCCCGTACCTTTACCTTTATATATAGGGTGCCTACAATCTGCATGGAATGGTTGCAAGGCAACATGTGCAAATGGCTTGAGATACCTATTAGGTCCATAAATCACCATATAGCATATATTCAACACAAAAAACAGCGACAATTTGTTGTTGACAAAGGGCAGCTGGACATATAAAGGGCCCCATTACCTTCAGTAGCTTAGGGCCTCATCAAACCTAAATCTGGCCCAGGGAAGACTGTTAACCACGGTTCTTGCAAGTCCCTGTTTTGTCTAGACACAACAGTTAGGTTGCATATTCCTCTCACTCCCCGACCCTGTTTTAATTTCCCAATGGCTTCCTGGTGCGATGGAACTGTTCTTTCCCTTTCTGCCATTCCAGAGGGATGTCCCGGCTTGTGCAACGGCAACGGCAGGTGCACGCTCGACATGAATGGGTGGCGCTGCGTCTGCCAGCTGGGCTGGAGAGGGGCCGGCTGCGACACGTCCATGGAGACGGCGTGCGGCGACGGGAAGGACAACGATGGAGGTAAGGCACCCACCACCATGGTTTGTCAGACTGTAAGTCTCCATTGGCCTGCACCATCCTGAAAATTGCAGGGGGGGTGGTATCCCTGAATGTCCCCAAATGGCAAAGGTCTGTAGCTCCCAGACAGAGAGCCCCAGCTGCTGGCTTCGATCGTTTGAATCACCGGGTAGGGCTGGGGCATCTCCCATCTGAAACCATGGACAGCTGCCATTGGTCAGTGTAGAAATGCTAAGTTAGATGGACAAGTGGTCTGGCTCAATAAATTACAGTGGTACCTCGTGTTACATAGGCTTTAGGTTACAGATACTTCAGGTTATAGACTCCGCTAACCCAGAAATAGTACCTCGGGTTAAGAACTTGGCTTCAGGGTGAGAACAGAAATTGTGCTCCGGTGGTGCGGCGGCAGTGGAAGGCCCCATTAGCTAAAGTGGTGCTGCAGGTTAAGAACAGTTTCAGGTTAAGAACGGACCTCTGGAACGAATTAAGTACTTAACCCAAGGTACCACTGTATTGCATTAAAGCAAACACTTCTGGAATTAAGCTTAATGTCCTGCAGAGGACGTGGACTGTTGGTCGGCCCAAGGCCTGGCTGAAGAGGAATGCTTTTGTCTGTTGCCTAAAGGTGTACAATGGTACCTCAGGTTACAGACGCTTCAGGTTACAGACTCCGCTAACCCAGAAATATTACCTCAGGTTAAGAACTTTGCTTCAGGATGAGAACAGAAATCGTGCGCTGGTGGTGCGGCAGCAGCAGGAGGCCCCATTAGCTAAAGTGGTGCTTCAGGTTAAGAACAGTTTCAGGTTAAGAATGGACCTCCGGAACGAATTAAGTACTTAACCTGAGGTACCACTGTATAATGAAGGCACCAGGCGAGCCTCCCTAGAGGAGAGCATTCCACAAATGTGGAGCCACTGCAGAAAAGGCAGTTATTACGTTGCCAACCTTTGGGCCTCTCATGGAGGAGGCACACAAACGAAGGGCCTTGGAGGAGGAACACAGAGTCCGGTTGGTTCATATGGGGAGAGGCGGTCCTTGAGGTATTGCGGTCCTGAGCCATTTAAGGCTTTATAGACCATCTAAGGCTTTATAGGGACGCGGGTGGTGCTGTAGGTTAAACCACAGAGCCTAGGACTTGCCGATCAGAAGGTTGGCAGTTCGAATCCACGTGACGGGGTGAGCTCCTGTTGCTCGGTCCCAGCTCCTGCCACCTAGCAGTTCGAAAGCACGTCAAAGTGCAAGTAGATAAATAGGTACCACTCCAGCGGGAAGGTAAACGGCCTTTCCGTGCGCTGCTCTGGTTCTCCAGAAGCGGCTTAGTCATGCTGGCCACATGACCCGGAAGCTGTACGCCGGCTCCCTCGGCCAGTAAAGCGAGATGAGCGCCGCAACCCCAGAGTCGGCCACGACTGGACCTAATGGTCAGGGGTCCCTTTACCTTTACTTTTACTCAGGTCCAAACAGGCACTTCAAATTGGGCCCGGAGAGTAATTGGTAGCCAGTGCAACTGGTGTAATATGCTCAAACCGTCTTGCCCCAATGAGCAAGCAGATAGATACCCCTCCTGCCCGACAAACACCTGCTATTTGCCCCAAATTTTAATTCTCATAAGGCTAAACCACCTCTCCTGTGGCGACATGTCTTTTTTACTTTTCTTTCAATACTGCTATGTTGAGTAACGTCAGCCGAGTTTTTAAAATTGGCTATTAACAGCATAGGTTAGGATCTTGTTGCCAAGAAAGCTCTAGTAGGCTGCTAACTTTGGATTAGAAGTTAGGAGACATCGCACTGCAAGGGAGATAGAGGAATTAATAATTTGTTTTGTTTTGTTTTGAAAAATCTTTATTAATTTTCACATAAACAAATATACATAACATATAATGCAGAAAACGATACAAATGAATAAAAACAATAAAGTAAGAAAAGATAGAGAAACAAACTTAAACAAATACAATATAATACACTTACATAACAAATTAAAACATGTAACTTCCAATAATTCTCATTATATTACCTATAGTATCTGTATTCTTTTCACAGATTCATATTATTTTATTATGTATATAGATATATAATCCACTATTATATTTTAAATAATTATTGGTTATCAGTATCAGTCTATTTCTGCAAGTATCTTATTGTTCGTACTGTACATTTTCAAGTATTCTTTAAATATTTTCCATTCCCTAAATACCTTTTGGTTTGACATTCCTCTAATTTTTCCACTTGATTTTCTAGTTGCAGGTATTCTATCATAAGAATTTGCCACTCGGTAATTGCTGGTAAAATTTCATTTTTCCAATTTCTTGCCACTCTTATTCTGGCTGCCGTAACCACGTACATAAACAATGGTCTTATATTTTTTTGATTATGGAAACCCCATCAACGTCGCCCATACGGTCGTGAGGGGCCATATGAGTTATGGGGAAGGGTCATAGGTCAGTGGAGGATCATCTGCTTGGTATTCAGAAGGTCCCAGTTTTAATCCCTGGCTGTTGCCAGTCAGTGTTGTTATGGAAAAATCTAGGTGCGAGGCTGCTCAGTCACCCAGCTCATCGGGCAGAGCCCGCGGGTCCCTGCGGAATAAAGGAAGGAGTCCAGCCAACCGGAGCAAATAGCTGTAGACCAAAGTTTATTGCGCAACAGGTTCAAAGAGCAAATTTGAACCCCGAGGATGGGGTGACAAAGACTTTTAAAACTTCCCCACCATATCCCAGAATACAGTTTGTACAGCATCATTGCTACATCACTGACGTGTCACAAAAGGGGAGGGGTTAACCTTGGCAAACATGTCCAGACAAGTCCTTGGTACAAGATTAGCATAAGCAGACATGGCAGGGCAAGACCCAGGTACAGTGGTGCCCCGCAAGATGAAATTAATTCGTTCCGCAATTTTTGTCGTCTAGCGAATTTTTCGTCTTGCGAAGCACGGTTTCCCATAGGAATGCATTGAAAATCAATTAATGCGTTCCTAGGGAAACCGCTTGCCAGGCTGGCGGTGCGGAGAAGGGCTTTTCTCCCCACCGCAAGCCTTCAGCACAGGTACGGGAACAGAGGGGAAGGCGCGCAGCGCTTTCCCTCTGTTCCCGGGGCTTGCGTGGGAGGAGGGTTTTTCCTCCCCACCGCCAACATTCAGAACAGCATTCTGAATGTTGGCGGTGGGAAGGAAAACCCTTCTCCCACCCCAAGTCTTCAGGACAGCCATCCGAAGGCTGGCGCGGGGAGAAGGTCTCTCCGCCCCCCCCCCCACGCCAGGCTTCGGTGCATCCTTCAGAGGCTGCTGCCATAGTCACGCGTCACTTCTCCAGCTGGGAGAGGGTCGCGGGGCTATGGTTTCTTTAGCCCCGCGCGCGCTCTCCCGGCTGGAGAGGTGACGGGCGCCTATGGAGGTTCCTGCCATATGCGCGCGTCACAACTCCAGCTGGGAGAGGGTCGCGGGGGGCTGGTTTAGCCCCGCGCGCGCTCTCCCGGCTGGAGAGGTGACGGGCGCCTATGGAGGCTCCTGCCATAGGCGCGCGTCACATCTCCAGCTGGGAGAGGGTCGCGGGGGGCTGGTTTAGCCCCGCGCGCGCTCTCCTGGCTGGAGAGGTGACGGGCGCCTATGGAGGCTCCTGCCATAGGCGCGCGTCACTTCTCCAGCTGGGAGAGGGTCGCGGGGGGCTGGTTTAGCCCCGCGCGCGCTCTCCTGGCTGGAGAGGTGACGGGCGCCTATGGAGGCTCCTGCCATAGGCGCGCGTCACTTCTCCAGCTGGGAGAGGGTCGCGGGGGGCTGGTTTAGCCCCGCGCGCGCTCTCCTGGCTGGAGAGGTGACGGGCGCCTATGGAGGTTCCTATGGAGCTGTTCCTGGAACAGCTTTCCGAAGTGGGGCGGCTGGGGCAGATGTCCCCGCCCCCCCTCCCCTCTTCGGAACAGCTTTCCGAAGTGGGGCGGCTGGGGCAGGTGACCCCGCCCCCCCGCCCCACTTCGGAACAGCTGCAAAAGACGTCAGGGGGAAGCGGGGAAGCGAAGCGCTTCGCTTCCCGCTTCCCCCGGACCTCTTCTGAAGCAAGGGGCTGCAGGGAGATCGCTATCTCCCCCCATCCCCTTGCTTCAGAAGAGGTCCGGGGGAAGCGGGGAAGCGAAGCGCTTCGCTTCCCCGCTTCCCCCGACGTCTTTTGCAGCAAGGGGCTGCAGGGAGATCGCTATCTCCCCCCAGCCCCTTGCTTCAGAAGAGGTCCGGGGGAAGCGGGGAAGCGAAGCGCTTCGCTTCCCCGCTTCCCCCGACGTCTTTTGCAGCAAGGGGCTGCAGGGAGATCGCTATCTCCCCCCAGCCCCTTGCTTCAGAAGAGGTCCGGGGGAAGCGGGGAAGCGAAGCGCTTCGCTTCCCCGCTTCCCCCGACGTCTTTTGCAGCAAGGGGCTGCAGGGAGATCTCTATCTCCCCCCATCCCCTTGCTTCAGAAGAGGTCCGGGGGAAGCGGGGAAGCGAAGCGCTTCGCTTCCCCACTTCCCCCGACGTCTTTTGCAGCAAGGGGCTGCAGGGAGATCGCTATCTCCCCCCAGCCCCTTGCTTCAGAAGAGGTCCGGGGGAAGCGGGGAAGCGAAGCGCTTCGCTTCCCCACTTCCCCCGACGTCTTTTGCAGCAAGGGGCTGCAGGGAGATCGCTATCTCCCCCCAGCCCCTTGCTTCAGAAGAGGTCCGGGGGAAGCGGGGAAGCGAAGCGCTTCGCTTCCCCGCTTCCCCCAACGTCTTTTGCAGCAAGGGGCTGCAGGGAGATCGCTATCTCCCCCCATCCCCTTGCTTCAGAAGAGGTCCGGGGGAAGCGGGGAAGCGAAGCGCTTCGCTTCCCCGCTTCCCCCAACGTCTTTTGCAGCAAGGGGCTGCAGGGAGATCGCTATCTCCCCCCAGCCCCTTGCTTCAGAAGAGGTCCGGGGGAAGCGGGGAAGCGAAGCGCTTCGCTTCCCCGCTTCCCCCGACGTCTTTTGCAGCAAGGGGCTGCAGGGAGATCGCTATCTCCCCCCAGCC